AGCTCAATTCTCCTTAAGTTTGCTGAAGCCATTGCCATCAAGCGCCTGAAACCCGATTTATGCGTCCAGAAAGAAGCGGTTATCAGCCTTTCTTTGCTCTGCCTGGTAACTGGATAATTTCACCTCTCTTTCCTCCGAATGTGAAATGCTAAAAGTTTCCATTGTGTTTGATTATTATTGTTCGGAATAGTGGTTAATATTGCATATTTATATATGTATATATTTTTAGTGTATGCGTATATTGATCGATTGATTTTTGTTTAAACTGAACTCTGTGTGCAAGTATGTTAAAATTGTTGTTGTAGATATATTTAATAATGTCTTTGCCATGTAAGCAGCTGACGAGAAAGCAACGAAATAAAAGATGGTACCATTTTATTCTGCTAAAACTGTAGTTTTTGCTTTGTTCAAATAATTAGATTGATTATTGGTAAATTGGTCGCCTATATAATGAACACTTCTGTTACTCTCCTAATATGATGGCAAATATCAGACATCTACTATTTTCATAATAATAATAATAATAATTTACAAAATCTCAGCTTATATATGACAACTTAATCAGCATTGGCACATTTTAGCGCTGTCGAATTAGCCAATTGGTAAAGACAACGTAACCGCATGTATATGACTTTTGGATTTCACAAGTGCGTAGAATTATGAAAGCAGCGTGTGTTGACATAATGAAATTGCTTGTCACATTCGTGTTGATTTTGTCACTTGATGGGGGAGCCGGGGTGTTGTAACCAGATCAAGTTCTGTTTTAGTCCATCATTCCTATTCAGAAAACTTGGATTCCGTTTGATCATAAGAAGTTCTTCTGATGACATTAGAGACGTTCTTTGTGGTTTCTGACATTTTTCTGGATGACGATTTCAATATTGTCAAAATCAATTTTGTGGCTTGATTCTATAGCGTAGCGTGTAAATCAAATATGGCTGATGATTTTTCAAGCTTTCCTAGTTCAACTGGATCTATTGGTGATCGAAAAGAGGCGGTTCTACGGTGTTCAATTCTTCTGATTTTGATTTCTCTGTGGTGATGTTCGTCCAATGTATATGGCATAACATTCTAAGCATTTTATTGATTAATTTGTTATATATATAAGCTGAGATTTTGTCAATTCTAGTTTAATATTACTACCTTGATAAAGCTATTAGCAGCAGCATTAAATAGCGGAACGTCAGTAAAAACAACAGAGTAGTTTTGTCATTTCCATTCATTGGGAAATACAAGAAAACCTTTATTATAGTGAATACCATATACCATATCATAGGTCATTTTTCAAACTGTTGAAAGTGAACTTGGTTTGGACATATATATATCTACTATCTAGTTAGCTTCCTTTAATAATAATAATATATGTCGCATTCAAACCCACAAACTCAATTCGAAACAAGCTTTGTCGGTTAGGGGATCACTCCTGTGGAGCCTTCAAAACAAAACAGTTTAGTTTGTCTAATACCCTGCTCTAATGATTGTCAAGTCGAATACCTAGGTCGGACTAGTAGAACAGGGGCAGTCACACTAGCTGGACATAAAAACCCAACAGCATAATCTAGATTAGTTGACCCGAATAAGATAAGAAATCTAGAGAATAGTTCAGCCGTAGACAGCACTCACTACATGTAATTACACACAATCATACAATAGTATGGGTGGGATAAGAAGACAGTTTTAAAATCTAATGTGACAGGGTGAAGGAAGAGATTGATAACAGAAGCTTTGTTTATGGAGTCAAATGCAAATGCATGTTCTAGGAATGATTCAACACCTGTCCAGTTGGATGTCTGGAAAATTCTACTACCACAACGATGACATATAGGAGGGAGCAAAGAAAACTACAAATCTCAAGTTTCTTAGTCGTGTGATTATAATTGATATGATTATGAATGATAATAGATTGTGTTCGAAGTAATGTATCCCAGTATGTTATACTACTGTTTCACACCATGTGTGGTACATCTAATAAACAAACTAATATGGAATTCCTTTAATAAAACTATCATAATGCTGGAGTTGTAATTCTCGGTCATGTCAGAAGCCATATAATAAGTGAGATGGTTTTCAACTGTGTCTCATTTTGAGGCTTATCGCTAGCGGGCACGCACGATCTGGAGTTTGGCCTGTTCGTTCTCTAGGTCGAGATCTACTGACGCATTAAATTTAATTTGCATTGATCCACGAGTGTCAATCGTATCAGTCACCTTGGCTGACACCCTTCTCAGAATTACATGCTGAGGTCAGTCAACAACAGCTATCCCATACTGCCGGATTTGCATTAATCCTCTTACTGATGTCCTACAGTGACTTCATTTACGTTTGCAATCAACCAAATCTTTACAACCAAACACCTGGAAATATTCTTTCAGGAGAATGAATAGAGAGTACTTAAGAAGCAAAAATCTTTGATGAATCTGGTGTTCATCGATTTTATTTATTTTATTTTTTTATTTTTGATTATAGCTTGGTTCCACACAGTATTTTCGGTAGGTACAAGTATGGAATTTTCAGCATGTGATATCGGCAACGCAAATTTTGCAGGCCGACCATTGATATCAGATATGTGTCGGCTGTGAATCGAACCTTGGACCAAGTGCATGATCGGTGACATTCTCAACCGCTGTGCCACCGATTCACAAGACATAATCTTATAACGTTTATGGATTACTACTTGGATGGAAGACAATTGTCAGTGGCTTTAGTCCAATTCTTTATCAAAAACAATGTCTCTTCTTGTCATAAATTATTAGTATTAGTAGGATTTTGAAATAATAAGTAATCCGTTTATTCATACGAACTGTGATCAAGATTTGATCGGATAGCTGCAAAATAATTGAGCGCTGAGTGAGAAGTAGCATTTATAAAGTTAGATTTGTAAAATCTCAGCGAAATTGAAATGATTAATTCCAACGTTTCGTTCGGCAATCTGGTCCGTTTATTATTTGACAGTTTAAGGATCGGAAGACGCATACGAGTACTTTAGTTTGATCTAACTGCAAACTGGCCAAGTGGGTTGGAGTTTAAAATAAGCAGTAGGCTGACGTGTTCATTGAAAGAATCCATCCGTCCCTGTTGGTCATAATGTCAATAATGTGGCTGCGACCACGTCCTCTGTCAATTCAGTGCACATCTAGTATCGTTGAACTGTTTGTTCTTAGATCAATCAATGTCTAGATAGGCATTCTGACATGACATTTCAAGAGTGAAGAGACTGCTAAAATCAATGAGAAAACTTATTTTCTCTGAGGTTTAGGAGAGATATATTTAAATTCGGCTAAGCCCTTTTGTAATCACATCTAATTTCTTTTATATAACTTATTACGCTGGTCGAAATTCCACTGAAAGGGGGGATTAGAAAATCCAGTTCTTTGAAATCTTTAAACAATCTCCATAAAATCCACAGGAGTTTATGAATATACGGCCCTGCCGGATTGCCTAAAAGCCAATCATTCATACCTTAGAGTATTCACAAACGAATCTGTTCTCTGCTTCAATCTACTAGCTTCTACCTTTCCAAAATAAGTGACTCAACTCCAGGATTGATCGTGAGCGGGTTTCAGTCGTGGCAGCTGTTTCATCTTTGCTGGATACCCACACATAACTCACCACACTGGTGACTGAACACGCAGAACTCTTAGATTATCTGGCAAGTGTCTTGAACAAAAATCCAATTTTCCATCTATTCTAACTTCTCTCGATTCACTATATATGTAGCGCAACCACCACCCAATGTTGCCACACACACACACCACTTGATGGAGTCCGCCGGTCACGAATTCTCACTAGAAATGTTGCCACCTTCAGCTTGTATTCAGTCAGTCTCATAGATTAATTTTAAACTTCATTTTCTTAAAGGCTTCAGTTATTAGGGAAGATATGACCAGCATACTTTGTATGTTCACAATCTTACAGAACTTTCATTATCCGTAAAGTTGTCCTGTATTCCGGTAAAGTATGCATAGTTCCATTAAAGTGTATATCTCTTGACTTGATGCATCTGTCGACAGCTTGTAACATTTTTTTTCACCTTCTCAACATTCGACAACCACATGCACACCGAGGGCTTGGTTATCACGATATCACCAACGGCAACGAAGGCCCTGATGTGCGTCATAAAGACCACGTGAAACAAACTACACATCTTCATCAACAGCTGCCTACGCTCAATACTCAAGATCAAATGGCTGGCCGGAAAACATCAGCAATGGTGAGGCATCTCTGGCAATGAGCTAACCAACCCATCAGTAACCAATTGTTCAACAAATATGCATGAAGAAATGGAGATGGATTGGCTGGCCATACTCTGAGGAAACCATCAAGTGGCATCACTAGACAAGCCATTGCTCGAGTGGGACTCGAAAGGAAAGCGGTGAGTTGGTCGTCAGTGCAAAAGTGACATGGAGGAGGAGGTCATGTGAAGTGGAGATGAAAGCATATGGGCAGGTGGACGTTGAGCCAAGTGAAAACGTTAGCAGAGAACCGAACGCAATGGACACATGCAACTAAGCCCCTATGTTCCTTTAGGAATTAAAGGAAATAATAATAATCATAATAATAATTCTCAACAATTCATAGTATCAGAAACAATTTTCAACAAAATAGAAACTATATATTAATATCAGTAGTATGAGTATTGTTGTTAGTAGTATTGTAAGTTCACCACCAAAAACAATAAAAGAAACAAACCGTTTAAGGAGGTAAATAAAATATAAGTATAGGGAATACGACATACTCACAAGCACGCACGCACGCACACAAGAGTAACTACATGTGAAATATTTCAGAAACTCATTTTCTGAGAAGAAAAGGAATACAGAAATTAATTAAGTTTAACCTCTTATGAACCATATTATAAATCTCTCTCTCTCTGAGGTCATATAAATTAGTTGAAATCTTGATGGTTGAGTAGTCGCCTCAGCTGTAGGTAATTTGGCCAATCAATATTGAACCACTCATCCATAATGTAGATACTTGAACGATGTACATATATATATATATATATATATATATATATATAGTATAAGTATAGCTAACGACTTTCTCACATGTTCTGCATATATGATATACACATTTTCCAGTAGTAATGCAACTGAATATCAATGAATTGTAGTCATGAATGAATATACAATTTTGTTATAAATAAGAACATCTGGAATGGACAGTTCTATTCGTAAAAGTAGTATAGAGTTAATAATAGTTTTTTTTTAAAAAATAATAATAATAATCGTAATAAAACTCTAACTGCAATGATCACTTGATACACAGCATTGAAATTCATTAGTTATTTGAGGTATATTCACATTTTATTATGTCTGTTTTCAGATAGATAGATAGATAGATGTATATATTGAGAAATTAAAGTTGCCGCCACACACACATTTTTTTTGAATGAGTTCAATTTCAACATTGAACATTGTACACATTGAATAACGTGTTTATAATTCCGTTTGAAATTGTTTTTGAATCCAACAGCAATGTTTTTGTTTTTTATTAATTTTTATCATTTTCACGAAAACATATAAAATGAAATATGTGCAAATGATAGTAGGATAAACCATAATCCATTCAATGGAGAAAAGTTTCCAGTGATTCGTATGCCTTGAAAAATTAAAAACGGAAAAAAGTAGAAAAGAGAGTAGAAAATAAAAAAATAAGAAAAATACAAAATTGATTTATTCAAGGTGATGTTTTTTCCTTCTCAATTGACAATATTCCCTGTATTCTGTTTGAACTGATAATATTTGTCTTGTTAAAGTGATAAAATTCTTTGGGAATGAATGAACTGAATTCTAGTAAAGTTGTTTTGATGCGTCAAAGTGGTCATCACCATATAGCTTGAAGGCTTTGAGTTTTGATCCCTGCCAAGAGCATAAGTGTACACAGTGTTTTTGGGTTGTCCCGAATAAGGATAAAGTAAATGTAGAGTACTTCTTGGTATTTTTGTTTTTTTAATGGTTTGCTAATTTCTATCGTTTGGTGTTTTAGCTTGGTCAGTCATATTTTTTACGGGGCTTAGTTTCGTCATGAGTGTTATTATTATTCCGTGGCAATTTCATGCTCCTGTCTTGTATGTAAGTGACCTATTCAAGTTTATTAATATGTCCACTTGTAGCTTCAGAGACGACTTTCGCGTCAGAAAGAGATGTGTAGTGTAGTGAATACCAAGAAGTCGTCCTTCAGTTCAATCTGCTTGCAACTCGTCGATTTACACATCAACGTCACATTCGAAATGGTATAAGAAAAATAAGATGGGCTCATTATTCCCAGGCTTTTTTGTTGACACTTTTATGGCTGGTCACCTTTGGGGAACTATACTTTGTACCAATTTCTCTGAGAAGATGTAAACATGATTACACAGTCAGTAAAATATTGACAGTCCTGAAAACGATTTCCCTCCAAAGGCATATTCTTGTAATCAAGGTTAATTCAATGTTCAATATTAGTGGCGTGTTCGAAATTTATTTTTGAGTTTGTTTTGAACAGTCAGGAGGATTTTCGGTATGCGCGGCATTTAAATGCTATGCAAGTCATCAATATTTTCACCTCGAAATTCGTACTCCTCAAACTACGACTTTGATTTGATATACTACTAGTTCGCTCAACTAGTCACCCATAATCTAGGTGATTTGGACGGGTTCAGCTATTTCAACCGATTTAAGCCGGGTATATGGGGAAGAACCAGCCAGTGCTTACGGGTCCCTACAATCTGGCTGACAAACACAACTGGTCGATGTGAGTAGTTTCCAAATTATTATAACTATTGTTTCCTTTAGTTCGTAGAGGAACATAGAGCCTCAGCCGCGTGTCTCCATTGCTTTCGGTTCTCTGCCAACGTTTTCATCATCTGCCTACACGTCTGCCCACATGCTTTCATCTTCACTTCACATGACCTCCTCCTGCATGTCAACCTCGCACTGACGACCAACTCGTCACTTCACATTCGGCTTCTAATCAAATGATGGTGACACTTGTTGGTTTGTTTCTCAGAGTATGACTAATCCATCCCCGTTTCTCCCTGCAGATTTTTTGCATAATTGGTTCCTGCCGGGTTGATACGCGCATCGCCAGAGATCTCTTACTATTGCTGATGTTTTCGGGCCGGCTATCTGATCCTCAGTAGCACTGAGAGAAGAGAGCTATTGGTGAAGGTCTGTAGTTTGTTTGAGGTGCTCTTCACGACGCGCCAAGTCTCTGAACAGTATAGTAGCACTGAATTCACATTGGAGTCAAAAATCCGGATCTTAATTTTCAAGCTCAGTGCTGTTGACCTCCACACAGACTTGAGAGTAATGAAAGCTTGTCATGATTTCTCGATCCTCACTTTGATATCATCATCATCATCAGTTCCGTCCACCTGTAGTTGAAAAAATGCTTTCCAGGTAGGTAAGTGCAAGAGGTTGTTTCTTTCAGATTCCACCTATTTATGTTACCTTATTGTTGTGTGTTGTAGTTGCTGTTGGCCAGGAATCATCATCACCTCTTACTTCTCCCTGTTCGCGTGAAGTGAAGTCCTATCGTTGATGTTTCTTTTGCCAACTTGTTGCTTTTCACTTTTACATCTTCCAGTTTGCGGGAAATCAAACATATATAATCGGCAAAGTTCAGATTCTCCAAGTATGTTGTGTAGGTCCATTTCCTGCAAAAGTTGGCATGACGTAATAAGTGTTAGATAGTGACTAGTCAATAAGCCCGTGTAGAGTGGACAGGAACTAGTGGAATTGTGATAAAGTGTTTTTTACATAAAATCTCTATGAAAACGCAATGCTATTAATAAACAGTAATAGGGTGGTAATAAAATAAACACCTTGTCATCTCCGGACATCGAGCACCCCACCTGCATGAATGCTTCACATTGCAACACAGAGTCCCTCATTATCGTACAAAAGGAATTCGCATACGCGGTATGTACATAGCTGAAGCACTAGCTCTCCAGGTTCTGAAAGCGGACGTCAGCATTCCAAAGCGATGCATACATTCTCTCGCCCAACCATGGCTAGAATGAAGCTCTGACTACTATTTTGCTTCTTTCCTTCATTATGAAAGTTCACTATTATTCTTATTTTATTGTTATCAATACTTTCATTATCATTATTATTTCCATCGTCCATATTTTATTACCACTCTATTACTTTTTATTAGTAAAGTTGAGCTTTCATACAGATTTGATATAAAAACGCTTTATCATCTTTGCACTAGCTACTATCCATTCTACACCAGCTCATTGATTAGTCATTATCTCACAACTATTACGTCATGCCAACTTCTACCTCTTTTCTAACTTATAATTAGTCATCCCTTCTTACACCTTAAATAATATAATACATTATTCGAAGGGAAATGTTAGCAGTATCTGATTGGTCTAAAGATTTCTTTGTTTAATATAATTACAAGTACTGGACAGCTGTTTCGTCCTAGTTTGGGACTCCTCAGCAGTACGCGCCCACCGAGATTCGAACCAGGACCTTCTGGTTACAAGGCGAGGTCGTAGACCATTGAGCCACTGGGACCCGATCCAATCGTCCTTGAATTCTAACTTCTGCCAGTTCAAGACATAGCGCGACCACTTCGCAATGTCTTCTTCGATGAGTTGCTGCCTCATCTTCAACCTGCTGTACCCTACTGGTCACGGCTTCCCACTAGAACCCCAGGTTAACTGCCTGAATAGGGCCAGTCACTAGTGAGCATCGGATGAATTTTCAAGTATTGGTTTTCGTAGGGATTTTGTTTGATTGCATGGAGGATTTAATCACTAGTGACTGCCCCTATTCAGGCAGTTAACCTGGGGTTCTAGTGGGAAGCCGTGACCAGTAGGGTACAGCAGGTTGAAGATGAGGCAGCAACTCATCGAAGAAGACATTGCGAAGTGGTCGCGCTATGTCTTGAACTGGCAGAAGTTAGAACTCAAGGACCATTGGATCGGGTCCCAGTGGCTCAATGGTCTACGAGCTCGCCTTGTAACCAGAAGGTCCTGGGTTCGAACTCCGCTGGCGGTGGGTGAGTACTGATGAAGAGTCCCAAACTAGGACGAAACAGCTGTCCAGTACTACCAGGTTTTCCAGTGGTTCTCTAACTGATGTCAGCTCATGATTAAATCCTCCATGCAATCAAACAAAATCCCTACAAAAACCAATACTTGATAATTACAAGTGTTGGTTTTATAGGGATTCAGTTTGATTGGATGGAGGAAGACATTGCCAAATGGTCACGCTGTGTCGTGAATTGGCAGAAGTTGGAATTCATGAGCTGGCCATTGAATCGCGTCCCAGTGACTCAATGGTATACGAGCTCGCCTTGTAACCGGAGGGTCCTTGGTTCGAACCCCGGTGTGTGCGTACCGATGAAGAGTTCCAAACTAGGACGAGACAGCTGTCCAGTTTTCCATGCAGGTTTTCCAGTGGTTCTGTTAGTGACGTCAGCTCATAGTGAAATCCTCCATCCAATCAAAACATAATTACGACTGCACCTTATGAAAATGAATTGTCGAAGACGGCTAAATTTTCTTCGCAGTTTGCACCTTTTTCTTATGACTTAATCTGGGAATATTTTGTTCTCTCATACCAATCATACCATCGACTGCGTCTTAATTTCCCGTTTTTGATAGTACAGAGACGATTACTGGAAACAATATAACCGATAGAAACTAGGTTATTTAATGCATCAGTATAACGATTCATAGTGCGTCGGTGGCATAGCGGTTAGGACGGTCGCCGACCATACACATGGTCGGGGTTCGATCCCCGGCCGCCAACGCACTCCTTTACCTCGCTAAGCCAGAAATAATGCTGGTAAAGAGGAAAGGTTGGGCATGAGGCTAGCAACCCAACCCTGTAAAAATAAACACTGCTACAGAAACTTCAAGCCACTAGCTTAAAGCCGTATGTTCCACTGGGGAACGTGAAGAGAAAAAAGGAAATAACGATTCATAAAAGTCAGTAATAAGCTAATCTATTTTTCTTTTTCAATCATGCTGACTTGGTTATTATTATGGAAAGCAATCACAGTCTTAGATTCCTTTATCCTCTTCTCCTTTTTGTATTTTAAATTTTTAAATCCTATTTTTAACGTTTCACTGTGATATACAATTCATGTTGCCAATGGTTACCATGAAATGAAAGGAAACACGTGAGTTTATCAAAAAAAGCCTTGCTGATTTGGCGTCTTTTATTGGTTCACTTCCTTTACTGTTTTTACCTCTAAATATTAACGAAACTGATATCCATTTCTGCTTATTGTTACGCGTTAGTAAGCAAGCAGGAAACTGAAATTGCTTCTGTCGAATAGAAAGTTAAAAATTGTGCAACATACTTTGTTGTATTTCATCTGATATTTTATAGGCTCATTGAACATTCTCTTAAGATAACTTATTCCTTGTAGTCAAATCATGTTACAAAAGAACTCAGATCATTATTATATCCTTTAATTCCTAGAGGAACATAGGACTTCAGCTGCGCACCTCCATTGTCTTCTGTTTTCTGCCAACTTTTTCACCCCGCGCTCCAAGTCTGCCCACATGCTTTCATCTCCTCCTCACATGACCTCCTCCTCCATGTCACCATTGCACTGACGACCAACTCGCCGCTTCTCTTTCGGCCTGGTTC